AATAAGAAACCTTTCTTATTCTTAAACCTTTCTTATTCTTATAGAATAAGAAACCTTTCTTATTCTTATAGAATAAGAAACCTTTCTTATTCTTATAGAATAAGAAACCTTTCTTATTCTTATAGAATAAGAAACCTTTCTTATTCTTATAGAATAAGAAACCTTTCTTATTCTTATAGAATAAGAAACCTCCAGCAACCTTATGTAGAACATGGTGCTATTCAAGATGTTCAACAAAGAGCATTCGAGATCTTCAAGTAATGAGAGCGAGCGTAGGGCCGAGAACTCGGGACTGGGAGGTAAGTCGGCCGAATGGAGATGCCTTTGCCGCCTCTGGTAACCATGTCGACAAAGTCGAGATGCGACAACTGCGCGGGCTTCGGGCGCGGGACCCTGGCCGGGATCCCGGCAGCCTCGGATCAGAATAAAAGAGAGGAGGGAACACGCGCCGTTCGCCATAGGCACGCCAGGCGCACTGACGGAAAATGGAGAGGAGTCTAAGAGACTCGGGGCACTCAAAGAAGCGGCCGCTTCGGCGCGGACCTCACACATACTCACTTTTTCAACTCGGGAGGGTGAGCTTTGCTCATGGTGTCTACTTGGCGGGCTCAGAGAGGCCTTGAAACAGACTTCGCAGCCTCCCTCACGATCTCGCGGTAGGCCCGGCGTTTTGCGTGTGACGTCACTGGTCCCCTTACCCAATCGATTGCCGGCAGTTTCCATATTTCATCTCGCGATACTTGGAGGAAGCCTGAGGGAGTCGGTCAACCTTGAACTTCCGGTTGCGTCGTCAGCGATTGGCTAGGACGGAGAGGCGCGGCCTCGAGACCCCTTAATTTCGTTTCCTTTGTGTGAAATCGAGATAGCGGTGTGGTGTCTAGCTTCTGTGTGAACTCAGCCAGTCCCTTATGTCTGTGGATAGGTTCGTTTATTTTCTTCATGTATACCGAATGAAAATGAGCTCTGCAGTGGGCCCTTAATTTTTCTTTGACATGTATTGCCACATCATGCTGCCACGTCCAGCCTAGGGGTCCAATAACAGCTAAACCAGGCGCCTCTGCACCGGAAGAAAGCCAGGCGAGTGACTCGGCCTGTCTCCAAGAATTTAAATCTGGAGTCCTGAAATATATTGCCGTCGATGGTCCCGCAATTCTTGTAACACTGCCTCCACAACCCCGCTCAATGTTCCATTGTTCCTATATATAAAACGTGAGGTACAGCACACAAACGTTCTCTCTACATCAATACCGTAGGTGTAAAAAGTGGTCTCCGATTTGTATCCATTTGGTTGTTACGTGACCCCAAATAGAATCCACAAATTATTAAAGATTTAGAGCAAAATAGGCAACCTTGATGATTCTAAGCAAGAGATGGTTCTCCAAAATTTAACTCATCCCTAATGCTCAGGGATGGCTGTATTTATTTTTTTTATTATTATTATTTTTTTAAAAGATGACCGGTAAGGGGATCATTACCCTTGACTTGGTGTTGTCAGCACCACGCTCACCCAGTGAGCTGACCGGGGATGGCTGTATTTAAAAACCAATGATAGGGCCGGCCCAGTGGCTCACTCGGGAGAGTGCGGTGCTGATAACACCAAGGCCACGGGTTCGGATCCCATATAGGGATGGCCGGTTGCTCACTGGGTGGGCGTGGTGCTGACAACACCAAGTCAAGGGTTAAGATCCCCTTATCGGTCATCTTTAAAAAAAAAAAAAAAAA